GAAAGTTCTTTTATAAATAATAATTTCAATTTTAAAATAATATATTTATGTTCATCTTGACAGACATTATTTGTAAAACCTAACAGCAAATCATTCATTATGAAATCGAATCTATTCCACTATAAGGAGACAAGCCAGCTAAACAGCGACCTCTGCTGGGAACATCAGGCTAACACTAAATGCTCCAGATTACTTCGCACTCTGAGAATAACTTTAGATTTGTATCCAGATGTGACAGGCAAATTCCACATTAACATTATTTCAAGTTTTTTCTACACCTACGGTTTTCTACACTGTGTATAAGTGGTGCAGTCACTCTGATTGGAGCTGTTTGTTTCCCTTATTTATTGGTATAAGCATGTAGAAAAGAACAATTATAGTAGATGTTAACTCTTTTCTTTTGCATCTTCTGCTGATCTCCTTCTAAGTGGTGCTGCTGATCTCCTGCTAAGTGCTGCTGATCTCCTGCTGAGTACCGATGCTGCTGATCTTCCGCAGCCACTTTGCAGCCATTTACTGTACACATGCAAGTGTCAATGGCAGCTGCATTTTCAGGGTGGGCTTTCTGATGGTGGCAACAGTATATCATGTCTGTGCAATGATCATCTGCAGATTATAGTCTCCAGGTGACAGGGTAACAATACAACAGAACAACTGGGAGATGGTGACACAGTGTTGAAATTCTATAACAGGGGGTACTGGAACAAGGAACTTCTTGGCAGTATCACTAGGTATTATTTGAAGGAGGTTTTAAACTTTTGAAATTACATTACCATGTTAAAGATTCTGACGTGGTTTATGTAAATAAAATATATGCTCTGTTGTGGATGGATGCACATTTATAATATATATATATTTTTTTTTTTAATTAATGCAATGCAGCAAGGAAAAAAAATAATTTTAACAACCTAAAGCCGGCCATATGCTGTTAGAATTTTTTTGGAACATTTGTTCAAAATTGGTTATCACAGCAATCAATTTTGCTATTGTTGAGCCAACTAATTTCCTCGAAAGCCCTTAACATTTTTATCCATATCTGCTACTTGAATGGAATCCCAGAAGTATAAAACAAGTTTCTTTTCTGCCTAGCACATGCACATTAAAATATGAAAACTACGATTAGAATTTATTTTAGAAAAAAATTTCCAGGAGCTTGAAAATAGGCTAATTGAAGAGGACTTCGATATTAAGGGGATGTATTGCAGGGACAAGTCTATAATCTTGCCACTCTATAGATCATTGGTTAGACCTCATCTGTAGTAGGCGGTCCAGTTCTGGTCACCAGTACAAAGAAAAGATGTCCTTGAGTTGGAAAAAGTCCAAAGGAGGGCAACCAAACTAATTAGGGGTATGGAGGACCAGAGCTACGAGACAAGGCTACTAAATTTAAACATGTTTACATTGGAGGTGAGGAGATTAAGTGGGGATATGATCTCCATGTACAAAATGTTCAATGGTGGTAGCAACATTAGCGATAAACTGTTTAAAATTAACTCCATTACAAAAACTAAAGGCCACCACCTAAAATTGGTGGAAAAAAATTCCAGCACAAGGGGCGAAGCAGGTTCTTCACAGTAAGATCAGTTAGGGTCTGGAACTCACTGCCACAGGCGGTGATTTCAGCAAATAATGTGGAATTGTTCAAGAAACTTTTGGATGATTTCTTAAGGGACCGTAATATACAGGGGTACAGGTACTCCTAGAATGAGATCCTAATAGGTTGGACTTGATGGACTAATGTCTTTATTCAACCTCAAATACTATGTAACTATGTAACTATGTGAGGCAGACAGGGGCAACTAAAATTAAGATAGGGGCTAGCGGCCGCCCACTGAAAATAATTTCGACTGTGATATTTACATATGAATGGGTGGCATTATTTACAAATGAATAAGCCGTGACTCATTCTTCCAAAACATTTTTTGCGTGTCCCTAGAGTGTTTAGGTTTCGCTTGAAAAAAAGGTGGCAACCCTACTTACATTGTCCCTGTATCCATTGAAATACATTGAATGACCACAAATGTTTTTGTTGAGCCTTGGCTGTATAAAAGAAGACGTGAAATAAAACAAATAGAAGTTTCTTTACAATTCTCTCTCTTTTCTGCACTCACACACTTACTTGGCAGTATTGTTTTGTAGCGGTTCTTGGTTCCATGACTTGGAATATCAATTTCTTTGGGATCCATGAAGTTCATTGGTATTTCCTGATTAGGCAACAAAACAATGAAATCAAATGACTGCCGTTAGACTGCCCTGTAATTGCTGTATACTGTAACTGATTTAACCTGACCTTTCTTACTTATTGTTTAATGTAAACTGGTGAAAATGTCTAGACATGCTTCACTTGTGTGGTTGTGTTTGTATTGCATAAATATGTGTCTTAAGGTGTTTTATAACATACAAAAACATCTAGAAACCGAAATTGGTTTAAAAAAGAGGTATTTTTCATCATTAAAGAGACCCTGTCTTTATAAAACAAAACTGAAAAATGTATAAAGTACAGGTACCCAAAGCTGCCTGTACCTAAAGCAGTTATAAAAAGTTTACAGATATGACATGTGCAGAATGTCTGAAAGGCAGACCTAAGAGTCTAGATAAAATAAAATCTGGGCTTTATACATTCTGACTTTTGTGCTTTCCCTCTTGCATAACCAGCCCCTACAGGAGCAAAGAGTTCAACTTTGGCCACCAATCATGGGAGAGCTGCCTAGGAAGAATCATCTCATTGCACCCCTGGTTCCAACTTCCTGCCCATCAGCACTTATTGTGCGGCCCATTGACCCCTACAGACAATAGTCTGTGTTTTCCTTACCTAGGTCCTTACTCAGGCCAGTGAAGAAAAAATGTTCTTTAGACAGGTTAAATTAGTAGTTAAATTATTTGGTGTATTTCTTTCACGCTATCTTTTTCTTTGCTGTTCATCCCTTTCCTCTTTTCATTTTATTTTCCCTTGATCTTTTCTAATGGATCTTGCTGTGGCAAGCTCTCATATCTGTATGACAGATATCCCCTTGCTAAACATTCTCAGGGAATTAAGCGATCACTTGGATTGGATTTCTCTTAGTTGACTATATGCCCTTCACCTTTCCAAAATCAACTAGGACCTGAGCTCTGTCCCTTCCTCCTTCAAAGGCAAACATAGAGATATGCAGGATGTGAATGTTGTAGAATGACCTTCCAAGGGAAGGATTATCTGGTGGCCTGATGGCCTTAGGTAGCTTTTGTCTTGCTTTAGTCAACATAATACCAAAACACTTTACAGCACATTTCTAGCTGGGAAAACTGAGATAACCATTTGAGGTCATTTCACGAAAATTAGTCTTTCACCAAAATTAGTCATAAAATAAATAATTAGTTAGAAAGTTACATTAAATGCCATGCAGACATCCCTTACCCCCAGCTGTTGCCAATGTTTAAAGATCATCAAAAAGAGACACTTTGCAAAAAATTAATATATGGAAAACCCCTTCATTTCTGACATAATTTGCACATTTTCTTTCAATCTTCAAACTGTTTTATTCTTACCATGAATTCAGTGTGAAGCAAAGGGGAGCTTTTAACCACATCGTGGAGTTTCTGTCTTGTCAGAACACGACTTGCAGTTTTCAGGTATTCAATAGCTACTTTTTCTCGTGGAGTAGGAGCCACAGTAAAAGGTTCAACAGTACCCAAACCGCTCATATCCAAGGTAAGTGATACATTGGAACCTCTCCTGTAATAGAAGGAAGCATGAAATTAAATCAAGTTGTTATATCCATGTTTCCTAACTGTACATTTACCCCATGTGGTACCTCTGACAATTTTAGGAGGCATAATCACAGGCACCTAATATTACCAAAGCAGATGAGGAGGAATCTGCTTCAGTTTCCAGGGAAGTTGCTCCAAATGATCATGGTTAGCTTTTTGATGTCCAACTCAGCTATGTGGCCACAGTATTAAGCATAAGTATGTCAGTGAGATGCAAGACTTGAGCAATCTGTCACAGCCTGTGTGGATTCTGCTGATGAGCAGCATGTTAGTGAGGGCTCCCCAGAGGCACAGAGGAATGTCCTCTTTAGTCTTCACCAGGGACCTATACAAGAAGGTTTGCATTTTGCTGCATGATGCTCCTAGAATGCAGCCCTCAGGTATGTCCTGTTTGTGACCGATCATTTGCAAGTGGATAACCAAAAGAAAGTACCCAGTTGACAGGTAAAGAAGGGTCAAAAACCTGGCTGTAATCAGGACTAGTAGAGTTCAGACAAACTGTGAAACAATAGAATCCTGGAGATAGGCCAAGTTTGTAACTAGAAAAGCAACCCAAATCCCAGACCAAAGAACTGAGCCGCCACAGAATACCAGAAGAAACACCTGTTTTCAAGAGATATATTGATTGGCTGTGTTCTGAATATTCAGCTATTCTACCATTGTTTTCACTGTGATTAGGCCAATGACATGGGTGTCCTCATGTCTCTCTGCGCTATGAGAAGAAACATACACTACTGGAGAGCCATCCTCAAGTGAGCTAGTGAATGTTTTGGATATTCTCAGCTACCACCTATTGCACCTCCACGAATGTGGAGGGTGCCAAGTGTTGCCAAATGCTCTACCCTTCCTCCTATATAGGTAAAAAATGAAAATCTTTGGCAGCTTGATGCTGCTGTATGTCTGACTGCCATCCTATGTCTATGTCCAAAGACAGCAAACTAACAAATATACCTCATCAATGATGTATGGTACACAGACACGTCTGTGCAGATAAAACAAAAGGGCATTCATCCATACCCTATAAATCATACCAAGTCAATATGACCGTTGTAGGCCTTACAGAACTGTCATTACAGTCATACATTTTTATACTCCCATTATTACTTTCTTCTAGGTCTTTTGGTTCCTATATGTGAACAGTTATATTCTTACTTTTTCATGATGTTAAAGTAGCTTCCCAAGTTATATATACTCTTTAGGCAACACTAGCTTTATAACATGTGATAATCTTATGAATCTTCAAAGAAAATAAATAAGCACAAGAGAAATGCAAGGTTTCTTCCCCAGTCCAGTGCAGTTCATGTTGATAGCCGATTCCATGAATCCTTTGCATGCAAGAAAATAGACACATTGTTTCCAGCTGTTTATATAATATGATTATACTTTAAAAAAATATAAATGCAATGTTTATTCAGTCGCTCCAAATATGATACACCCAGTGTGATGAACTGCCACATGTAAGTTCAGTGGCAGTGCAATGGTTCAGGACATTGGGAAGTACATGAACAAGTCACTGCCCTAGAAAATTCAGTGCACTTTTGCCCTATAATATCAGAAAAGGGAGTAATTTCCTCTAGTGGTGTCACCTTGTAATCTCTTAGCCCGGTCCTCTGATGAATGGATAGTCATGAGTTCTGAGTGCAAACAAACATTCATATAAAAGGAAGACATTCATTAACTGAAAGCATCTTTGACTACATTTTGTAGTAAATATCTCTTTTTATTGGAGCTACATACAAACTAACAATTCCAGTAGGAACAGCGATAAAAAATGTATTTTGAATTACTTTTTAAATGTGAATTCAAGTCAAATAGCTTAATAAACATATGAATAAGCTATATCGGAGCTGTTATAACTGCCAAAGCATTTTTATTTCTGTTCATCCAATTCTGGCATTTACATAGCTCTGTTGAGACCTTAGTAATAGTTCCAGTTCTTGTCCCACCCAAACCTTTAACTGGAAGGGAAAATCAACAGGCTGATCAGCTCATCTGTCTGCCTCCTTTTATCAGCATGTCTCTTGTTAGTACATGTGTACTACAGAACCGCTAAATGGTTTTTAGCGCAGCTTTTCTCCCTCTCAAACTTAGCACTATTGAGGAGGTGTATTGCAAGAAGCTAATACCTAGTCTAATTTAGGTACTTACACTGCTAGCTTACAAAATACATTTACTGATGTATTTATGAACAGAGGACTACATTAAATTGTGTCTTTTATACAGTATATGCCTACATTTCAAGCCAAATGATTTACACAGTATTCTTGTTCTCAGTTCTCACTAAGGGGGTTATTCACTAAAGAGCCAAAGGATTAGCCGAATGTTCGGCTAAAGCCTTCGGCTGCAGGAGCCCTTCGGTTTGGCTGAACGCGGTATTCACAATAGCTCATACAGCAGCCAAAGTAAACAGCTGAGCTGAACGAACATGCTTGACAAAACAAAACATAAAAATATTTATTAAAAAATAAATAAATAAAATCTAAAAAAAAAAACTGTTTAGAAAAAATAAATAAAAATTAAATATGAAAAAAAAAGGTTAGAAAAAATTATTTTCCATCTCGGTTGTAGCCTGACATTTTTTAATTTCGGTGCACGTCTAAAAAAAAATAAAAAAAAATTGTCCAACGATATAATCCAGCGGCAATCATGTCGTCCAGTAATGTAATCCAGTGTCAATCACAATAAATGACGCCCACCAACTGGCAAAAATCAAAAAAGTCCCGGCGGCCGACAACCCGACCGCTCGTGCTGAACTCCCTTTTGCGAAATGACAGGTCTGGCCCGAATGTAAACAAATGGGCATCAAGGGACTTGCTCTACCCATTTGTTTACATGCCATTTCAGGACAATGAGCTGCCATGGCATTAAAACAAGTTGGTGTAGCGAGTTGTCACGTATTGACTTGTTCTGCCCATTTGTTTACATTTGGGCCGGACCTGTCATTTTGTGGCGGGAGCCTGGCACGATCCGTCAGGTCGTTGGGTGGCGGTACTTTTTTGATTTCGCAGTGTCAACGGGCGTTGTTCAGCGTGATTGACACTGGATTACAATGCTGGACAACGTGATTGATGCTGGATTATATCTTTGGACGATCTTTTTTTGGGGGGGGTTTCATAATAAAGGAATTGTCGAAAACTGTGTTTTTGTCTTTGCATCGTCTGAGGTGAATGGGTTTTTCTTTTCGGTTCAGCCGAACTGAAGGGAGGTGAAGTGAGTCAAATGCAGACGATGTACAGCTAAGAATAGCCGAAGAGGCTTCGGCTTACTTCACTTTGGTTTCGTTATTCATTCGGCTGCTTTCGGCAACTTAGTAAAAAAAACAACTAATTGTTATGTGGTATAAGGACACCAAATTGTGAGAATAAAAAATGAGTTTGCCTCTAGAGATAAAAGCATCTTTATTACCTTTCATAATATTAAGGGAAATTATTCTTATCTTACCTTTTAGATGAGTGCTGTGATTGATAAGATATTTCCTTCTTAAAAGATATCTGACACCTTTTATGCAGCTTGATCATTTGGGACACTTATCATGAAAACTTCAGGAGCTTTTCCCAGGCACATCTGTATGTGTTACAATTTGACCTGTCTGCCCATCACTTTTATCAACTTCCTGGATTCCCAGTGTGCTTTGTGTCTCTTTCCCTGCTGCTTGATGTGATGCAATCTTGATTTTTCAAGGCTGCATTACCCATCATGCATTGCTTCTGACAAGCAATGATAATGTCACATTGTTCAGATGTTGAGCTGCAGCTCAGAAGGCAGGCTCAATATAGAAATACATATATATTTTCAGTTTTTGACCATAGTCTTTAATACAAAATATTTGGACATCCAGATCAGCGAATGTGTGCCTGTGTCTATGCGTCATGGCAGTTTAGCAGTACATCCTAGCTTATGACAACCAAGGCATTTGTGTGCCACTGCCAAAGTACTAATGAGCCTGTTTAATAATCATGATTTGCATTGTTTTAAAGTTTTACAAACCTCAGCAGGTCACGGCAAACTAAGGAAACTCTACTGACAAGCATTTCGAGACTAAGCTTGAAGCAATCAGTATCTGGGGAGGACAGGAATTACTTTGTATCCTGTGACGGAAACCAGCTGACATAAGAGCAGTTTTAGCTTTCCCTCTTTTAATCACACTTTCTTATGTATTGCCAACTAATTCCTTTTTCTGCCCTCAGGAACAGTTTATGGTACCACCAGGGAAACAGACTGTTTAACATTTGATGCTTATACAACCTCATCGTTTCCTGCAGATTACCCCTCTGATCGAACCGTTCTTTATCTTACTCACTGATCAACTTCATGGACATCAAAGTCCTTCATATTCTTTCTCTGTTTTACAAAATCAGCATATTATCAGGTTGTTTTGTGTATGTTACTGGAAAGTATAAAGAATATAAGCATGTACAATTTTCAATACAAACAGCATGTATGTGTTTTAGGTTTTGGCCCACCCAGGTCCTGTTCACCTAATAAAACCAAGGTCACATAGTAAAATATCCTTAGACACTGAGATAATGTATATGCTACCTATCTGTCCATGTACGGTTAGATCATGACACTGTCATATGTCAATGGGCAGTCTGTGACTTCTCTATTGCCCCCTGGATGAGGAAGAATAAAGTGTTTAGGATATTCTTATTCTGCCTACAGGCAACTAAAAAGATCACCCCTGAATTCCTACCCAATCTTTTTTTAAACAGAAGTAGAGGAGTTTCTCAACCAAACAAAAAAATTCTTCTGTATGAGATCCCTGACATTTGACTTAATGTTTCTCAGTGCATACTTTTGGGGTAAGCAGTGTGCAGCTCAGATACAGGGGTCTATTCACTAATCTGCTTCTATGTTCGGCCGACCCGAAGTGCAGAAGGAATTCGACTCAGCCTATCCAACATCTGGATCGGCTAAGCCGAACCTCCGGCAGGCTACTCGCTGCTGTTCGATCTATTCTTATAG